GAACCAGGTTCAGAGAGGCATGGATGCTTCTTGATTAGTGCTTCGGCTACGTCACTGAAGTCAGCATCTGTTGGGTAGGGTTTGTACTTGTAAATCTCTTCAGCTACCTTTTTCAGAATATCTGATATTGTTTTAGGACTTGGTGTCAATGGTCTCTTGTTTGACCTATACACTGAATTTCCCTTTTCTAACTGCAGTTCAGTGTCATAGGAGAATGTTGGTATCAGAAACTCTCTTGGCCACATCTGGGTTCTTATAGAGACAGAGCTGGAGGGTGAGGACAGGAGCTCTGTGTCATCTGTTTGAGTAGATTCTACCTCATCACAGACAGGGATGGCTGGGCTATCATCAGTTACTAGGATGACCTTGATAGTTGCCAAATTTTCAAGTTCAGTAGTAGATGTCAAGTTCACTAGTACATCTCCAAAGTCTCTGTCTTGGTACTGCAGTCTAAAATTGCCATTTAATCCTCACATCTTCCTGACTTGATTGATAAGCTCTTCCACTGTCTCTGGAATTCCACCAGGCAGAATTAGCTTCCTGGTGTCATCAGGATTTAAAATCACTCGCAACTTAGCTGGCCTTTTCTCTGCTATGTCAGCCCATCCAAAAGGATCTAGTAAAGACAAGAATAAAAATACAGTATTAGGTGTGGTACAAAATTAGCCATAACTTAGAGCCAATTCATAGTCAAAATTCTGGTGAAAAAATGAGACATTTCACAGTAAATATGAACTGAATATGTATGAATGAATGAATGAAATAATGAATGAATGAATGAATGAAAGAGAAAGGAAATTACCAATATTTGTGAAAATCAAACTGCTAAGGCCTAATGCTACCTTCAAAAAAAATATGCCTATTTCATTAGAATTAGGTCAGGAGCTGTTAGAGGAAAAGGGGACATTCTTGGCAAACTGGGTGCATTTTTTTCTGACAATTAAATAGACTAATAAAACAGAAGCAAGTGAAAAAATGAGAAAATTAATTGAGAAAACCTACACCCATTCATATACAACCTTATACATGTATCTCTTCAGAGAGATGATGCGCCGTCCGCCAACCATGTAGTGAGCCAGAGGGTAGGGATCTGTCAGTTCTTGCACCCCAACAAGCCGTAGTTCTTTAGTAGCAGATACGACTAAGTCATAGGCTCGATAATGCTCCAGGTACCAGGCATTCAGTTTTTTGACAATAAAAAATAGTGTCTCTTGTAGCACAATCATCTGAACTATTTCACAAAACTCTGGAAGTCCAGCCAGCGACCCATGGGCTACCACCATTCCAGTCCTGTAGTTGTAACCATTGTAGGATACATTTTTTGCAAGGTTCACAGTGTCCATATGTGGGTGTTTCTCTTTGACTGCCAGTACAATATCCTCATTCAGAACATCAAGGGGAAGTGTTGAAAGATCAGTAACCTCCAAAGATGGCTTAGAAAATCCAGACATGTGCAGATTATATGCAGTTTGAAATTGGTGCCTCTGGGCTAATGAATACAATACATTTTTGTAACAGTTTGTATGACGGATTACTCTTTTGAAGAAGCTATGTTTTGCTTCAAATCTCATAGTCCATAGTGCAACAAGGGGGCCAAACTGGCGGATCAACAGGGGATAATGCTCCAAGAAGTGATGTTTGGGCCGAATTCTTTCATGGGAGAAAACCTCTTGGAATACTGCCCTGTGTTCGGATATCTTGAAGTCTAGATAAGAAATAGAGTCCTCAGTATGAAGAGGTGCAACAACAAGTTCTACTATGTCTTTTAATTCACACAGGACCTGCCACGCTGGTTCACTTGAAGGAACTCTGGCTCCAATCAAGAGAGGAAGAAATCTCAACAGGCTCCAATTCTCATGTGCATTTCCTCCAATTGTTCTTTTTGTAGTGTAGGTGAGGGGCACAAGATGGGGGCGGTTTGTCTTATCAGTCCACTTAAATGGAAACGTTGTTATTTCTTCATTCAAATTGGCTAATGTAAAATATTTTTTAGAAATCAGTACATCAAGACAAAGAGCAATCTCAACTGGGATAATTCCTTCAAACAGATCATGAGCTATATCTGAGGGAAAACTCTCTGTCACACTGAAATATGACAGATTTTCTGACAGCACACACTTTGTTTTTACACCAAAATGACAATTCAATGAATTTTCTTCAATAGCTCTCAGATGAGAGGTATGAATTTCCTTTGTTCTTAAACAGAATGCTCCAGACTTGACTTCTTTTGTTTGAATGTCTACATTTTCTGCTGTACAAAATCTGCAAAAATATTTACCTGAAAAATTTTCCACAAAACCTGCGATACCGTGGGCCCCGAGATTGTCTGCTACTACACAATGAACAAAGCCTTTCACAGTTTTCCCCAACTTGGCAATAAACAGTCCTTGTTGTTGTAATGTGATAAGATCATCTATTAAGGGCTTCAGTACACTGTCAAAACCATAACACTTGACATCCTCACTACGAATAAGTGCAGCTAAATATATATTAGATAGTGATGAGTGACAACTAGCAGGTAAGTTTCCTAATGCCCAATATACCCCACAGATTTTGTGTTTTTTTCTCGAGGTACCAAGGGGATTGCAGACTTCAAAATCATCTACGTACAAAATAAGTGAAATTGCACACTCTTTTGACAACTGCAAATTTTCTTTATAATTACTACCATCATAAAAGCACCTATACTGAATTCTATCAGATTGAATTTGATGAGGAGATTTCAAATTGATTGACAGATCTAGAAAAGTCTGACAACTTAGAATCTGCTGTAACGATTTTAGTATAGAGATGTATTGAAATGATTTTTTGTTTTGGGAGTCGAGTACAAATTCTGTAGGTTCTACTGTTTTAAAATGTTTTTTGTAGTACGCCTTTCGCTTCCAGGCAGTGGAAAGTGGGCCACGACCACTAAATGATGCTGTGATTGGATTTGACTTGCAAATAGTAGATGCTAACTCTTGCAGAACAGTTTCATCTACTTGACAGTTGCCATTCCGTAAGTGGTGAGATATGGTTTGATGGATAAGAGGGACAGAAGCAGTGCTAATTAAATAGTCAAACTCTTGCAAAAGTTCATCAACAGCAACACTAGACACAAGATAAATATGTTCTAGCTTCAGTAAGAGAGAGGCAACTTTGAGCTCAACATTATGTGTCAAGTCATTTAAATCAAAACTTGAATCATCCAAGTCCTCTGCACTTAAATCTGGGGGCTCAAAACCAACACTATCAGAACAATCACTTTCAACAGAAACACCTAAACTTGACCCCTGTTTCTCTACTATTTCAGGCTTTAAGTCATGTACTGAGCAATTCTTATGATTTCTGCTTCTGTGAGTCCGAAATGAACCATAAATATTTGTTCTGTACGAACACCCCTGAAACACACAATCAACAGTTTCACTATTTTTCAGATGCTGAGCTATATGTTGAAAATAGTCTGTTAAAGTTGAACGTTCATTGCAGTTGCATAAGAGACATTTAAATGTGGTTAGTTCAGTTTGTGAGGATGGCTGATGAGATCTTGACAAGTGGGCCAAAGTGCCTTCCAAGTTTTGCAGGTACACGGACAGTTTAAATGGATGCATGGATAGGAATGGCGGCGTCCATAATGTCTGTGTTCAAGCATATAATGTTTAAGAAGCTCAGATCTTCGTGACACAGAGGCACCACAGTCTTTGCATCTCAACATTCATTGGAAGACTGGGAAAGAAAAAGAAGACCCACCTTACCCAGTTGCCACTTAATACAATTTACAAAATGCAGCATGATAGATGTACATTTGCATTTAATCTAATGAAGCAGTTGTTATCAAGTTACTTCTTCATCAGGAAAGCAACACACTTAAAAGCTGGTAAATATTAATTTCTTCCTATATTAATTCAGAGTATTTAAAAGTTGTATTGAAATGTAAATCTTTTGAATTGATCAAACGATCCTGAAAATCTGCAGATACTCTGCAATAATTTAAAAGCTGGAGTAAGAGGTCATTTTGTATGAGACACAAAAATCAGTGATTAATTTTTTGGCAAAATAACTGAAATCGCACTCTAACATTTTAAATCAATTTTTAACGTTATTTAAAACTCAATGAAATTATAAAATGTAAAAAACTAATGTAACTTAAACATACATGAAAATAATTTCCACAGTTGTTCATTTTGGGACTTACCAATTGTGACCTTTTCAGGAGCAAATCTGTAAACAGAAATGAAAGAATTCACATTTAGTTTTTGTTGGAACAGTTAGCATTATCCATAATTGTCACTACAGACAATACCAGGACATACTAGGCATACTGCTATACTGATACTGTACTGACAGAAAAGAGAATGGAATACAAATGGTTCTTTTTTTCTGTGGATCCTTTGGTACTGGGTCGCACAAAATGAATAAAACATTAATTGTCTATTTTATTTACATTTACTCTGCATGGTATTTTATTTGGGAAAAACATAGCTTCAAATATGCTTTGGCTCCAAAACTGCCTATCATATCCCATGACAATCGAGCCTGCTAAAAGTGACACACAAACAACCAATCATCTAACACATTTGCTCCCTGCCTGGCTCATTGAAACAGCCTATCATATCCCTGAACGCTCCGAGTGACAGGCAAACAGCCAATCATTTAACAGTTGTGTAGTTCGGTTGCGGCATCGCCATGTGTGTTTGTTGACATCAGAACAGCATGTAGTGAGAGCATGAGCGCTGAGGGAGAGGGAATTACAAACAAAAAAGGAGGTGTGTTATTTAGGGTACAAAGTAAAGGTAACCGGTAGACTACTATTGTACGTCTGCCCCAATTCTGAAGCAGCGGCGGCAATAATCAAGTAACGGTGAACATAGCGGAAACCCCGCATCATAACAGTAAACTCTCTCACATTATCACACACTTTCACTGTCTCCCCTTCTCTTTCGTGTCCGCTCCACACTCCCTGTGTTCACATACCTGCATTAGGAGATGAATTCATTGACCCTCGCAAATCACAATCACTCTCATTCACCTCGGACCCCACCCCACACACACCCGGCTCTGTTTTGAAACCGGTCAGTGGTGCAAAAAATATTAATTTAGCCAACGCGTTTAATTGCCGTCGGATCGAGGAAAAGGGGTGCATGATAAAATGGCTCAAGTTACATGCTTTAACCAAGCGAGATGCTTCTGTGAAAACATAGCGGCGGGTGAGAGACAAGGAAGACGAGACGTTGCACTTGTCACCCGGTTACATTATGAGATACGTATTAAATACAAGTTTTGATAAGTTGTCCGTTTTACCCCAAATGTTCAGGCCTCTTATCGCGGAGTTTCACCGTCTTTGCCTCACTCACCTCTGCTGCAGGGACAACTCGGTGTGTGTGTGTGTGTGTGTGTGTGTGTGTGTGTGTGTGCGTGTGCGTGAAGCGCGGGCCTGCCTGCAGCAAGCCGCTCCCGCTTCTAGTATGCTGCATTCAAGCTATACAGTAAAAGGGGCCTTATCACACTAAATAATAAGCGTAAGCGCTTATTCTTTCATGACATGACTGAACAATAACATTAGCAACGACATTAACTTTGCACTTGTCAAAAGGAAGCATCGCCCTCTGCATGTCAAATAAATGCAAACCTGGTTTAGCTAGCGTTAGCATTAGCGCACAAAACACAAAGGCAGTCTTTAAGATAATTTTAGTTATCTATCCTGTAACTAATCATAACTATGCCTAGCAAGCCCACATTGCCCCTAAAACATCTCAATTTTGAATTCTTACCTTGTTTTAAAGAGTTTCCACGCACGACAGACGGTCCACACCTTCGATGCGAGGGGCCAGTAATGGCAGACAGCAAACTCAAGAAGAGCGATCTGACGTGACGTCACATGGTCACGTGACAAGGAAACCTCCGGTTTGAAGTGAAAATACCATTTAAGAAGAATTGTTTCATTTCATTTTGTCCAGGGGGAGTGTCGTTTGCTTTGAAGCAAACTGGAAAAATCAGATTTAACCCAGAAACCATGATTTCTCATTAGACCAATTTAAAAATGCACTTTAAAGGAATGACACAGTCGTTTCACTTTTTTCAGTGTATATAGAGAAACACAACTTATAGTAAAACACATAAAATCATTCTATTCCCAACAGTATATGTATCCGAGCATTGTGAGACGCAACTAGTTGATATGTAGAACAATCCCGTATCGTGTGCGGTATACTGTTCCAGATGTCACTGCCTTTGACTGAAAGAACATTTTGTCCAGAAGTAGTCCATTGGTACGGCACTTCGCAATCTCCTCTGGTTGCCGCCCTGGTAGCTCTGCCACTAGAGGAAATTAGTTTGAAATGATCACATAGTGGGGGTGGTGCAAGTCCATGCAGTGTCTTATACACAGTACAGGCATATTTAAAAGTTTTAAAATTATCAAAGCTCAGAAAGTTGTGTTTCTTTAGGATGTGACAGTGGTGATAAGAGAGTGGTTTACAGTCGGATACTTTCAAAGCTCTCTTATATAATGATTCTATCAGTTTGAGGTTGTTGTTACCAGTGAGTGTCCAGTTAGTGAAACAATACTCGAAATGAGAAAAATATCATAGCATGCAAAAACATTCTGGCCGCATTTACTGTCAGCAATGCCCTGATGTGTTTGAAGTTAGCTAGATTGAGTTTTATTATTTTAGAGATGTTTATAATATGATTTTTGAAAGTGAGGGAGGAGTCTAGAGTGACACCAAGGTATTTAAATTCATGTACCAGCTCAAGCTCCTCTCCTTCCAGAAGTACTTTTGAGTTTGTGGTCTTTAACGGATGTACTGAACCTTGTGGGACAACAACTGAACACTCCTGATAAGCCGAAGCGACACCGTTGACGACAACACACTGTTTTCTGTTGGCTAAATATGATGTCATCCATAGAAGGGCTTGTTCTGAGAAGTTAAAGTGAGTGAGTTTAGCTAAAAGGATTCTGTGGTCAACGGTGTCAAACGCTTTTTTAAAGTCTGAAAACACGGCTCCAACACATCCATTAGTATCAAGGTAACCTTTATTTCTCTCTAAAAACACACTGATTGCCGACTCTGTTGAGTGGTTGGCACGAAATCCAAATTGAATGGAGTGCAAAGGGGTGTGGCTTTTGTTCAGATGTTCAATTAGTAATTTTACTACCCATTTTTCTATGATTTTTGACATGACAGGCAGGATGCTAACTGGCCTGTAGTTGTTTATGTCAGTTTTGACTCCTGATTTAAAAATAGGACTGACCACAGCCACTTTCCAAGCAGAGGGGACAATACAGTGTTTGATAGATAGGTTTATTATGTGTGTGATTGGACATATCAACGCATCTGCCGCTGAGTAACACCTGGATGACAGCTGGCTATGAGCTGCTAGGCTTTGTGCCGTCGGCGCGGCACCACTGATAGCTGATGTCGGGTAGCCTTGCTTGGAGGCAACGTCGCTGGCCCCCCTGTTCCACCCTGACATCGGGCACCGAACACCATCAAGCTCCATGCCAACAGGACGGACATTGGGGAGACACAGCTGCTGAAACAATGGGGGAGGTAAGTGGAGCAGAGCTAGTAGGTTGCTAGCCATGCTAGTTGTTAGCTCCGTTGGATAAGCTGTTGCGGTGCTGCAGGTAGCCAGGTGTGCCAAGCTGTTGTTAGCTTCTAGCTGCTGTGATGTTAGCCCTAGCGTTTGTGGGCCAGGGTTTACCTCCACATTGTCAGCTACAAGTGCCATGAGTGTCAAATAAAAAAGCCTTCGGAATACATTAGCTGGGGTAGTTGTCTGGGGTCTGCCCATTGGTCCGACAGCCCATTATTCTGACAACCCATTGTTCCAACCATATTAAATCTATTGTTCCGAAATCATCATGATGCCCTGTGGTTAAGGTCTGGTTAGGTTTAGGCACAAAAACCACTTGGTTAGGGTTAGGAAAAGATCATGGTGTGGGTTAAAATGAAAAAGAAAGTGGCAAACATAAGCCGTGAGCCTGCTTCGCCTCAAGCCTTTCCCAGCTGACCCAGAGCCGGTCGCAGCGCACCATCAAGGCAGAAATATGCCCGCCAGGAGCCGTTCAGCACCGCGGAAAGCTCCCCACACAACCCAGACCCCAGAGTTAATAACAGGAGGTTATGGTGTTTCATTCTCTCCTCTCTATGACACTTGTATCTCGACCAGTAGCCTACTTTTGTTGCGTTTGCTGATCCTCTATGGTACACAAATACAGTATAGCCTAGTATAATCACACATCTGAACAACGGGACGTCGGACTAATGGGATGTCGGACCAATGGGCTGTCGGACCAATGACATGGCACCGATGCCCTGGCTCGTCCGTCATGCAGGATTATAGAGTACAGAAGGTGCTGACTCACGGGTGCTGGGGAGAAGAAGTTGTCCTTGTTGTTTTTAGTTGTTAGTCGCTGCCGTGTTGATAATAAAAGCAAGCATAGTGTAAAAGCAACACTAGATGTCCAACTATAAGATGGAGTTGATGTTTTCAGCACACACGCAGTACCTGCCACACTGTGAGTGTGCTCAGCAGCCATCTTGGATCTTGTGCCTACTGCACCACTGCTGACAGGTGATTACCAATGACTGTCAAGTGACAGCACAAGGGGTCACTGGAATAGCAGCAGCAACAGCAGCAGCATCAGTTTATAGACATATATATTTTATGTATCTTTGTCTTTTTACGATGTACTTATTTACTGTAACGAATTAATTTCTAATAAAGTCAGAAACGTGACTAGGATGTCAAGCAGTTTGTCTGTGCCCATCCTTCAGTGTCGTCCTCTCATACAGTCTCCACCATGGTACTGTGTGGGGATGTTCCAATCGTTTAGAGAGAGAGGTATGCGTGCACAATTTCTTCATTGACACAGAGATGAGAATTTTTTTTTGGCTAAAGTCAGCAGGAGTAACCTTAGACTCACTACAGACTACAACAACAAAAATATGTGAGTTATCATTCTCAAATACTGTATTACTACATTTCCATAAACAAAGACCACACTATTGGGAAGCTCAGTGTTAGGTTTATTAAAAATAAGGAACAGGGAAAAGCTTGCAAAACCCAGGGAGTTGAGACAGAAATGGTTAGGCACACCTATATATGCCTGAGTCTGACGTTGTCTTGTGAGATAAGGTGTGCTCTTTGTTCCCCATCTTAAGGAGCTTCATTAGTTGTGAATGTTTGACAAAGTATGACAAGTGGCATCAGTTTTAATTGAATCTGTTTGAAGTTGTCTAATGGATATGTAATGAGTGTATACATGTCCAGTAAGTATAAAGTGTTCCCAAGTTGTTGTGTGTGGGAAGTAAACTCAGTCACTGCAGGCACATTTTGGTGCAGGCCAGTTTGCCAAGACCAAACAGGGCAGGACAAGGCTTAGAGCAGATTTAATTCCCACCATCTTTGTTTATCATGCTGTGAGTGCCCCTGCACCACAATGCACCCCTGGACCAAGATTATAATAGTTTTGGATTTTTCATTATGGTTTAATTTTATTTAGTTTTGACTTTTTTTTTCCCTCTAATTCAGTTAGTTTTAATTAGTTTTTAGGGCTGGTTTGCTAGTTTTTGTTAGTTTTCATTTTTCCTAAATGCTTAGTTTTAGTTTAGTTTTTATTAGTTTTAGTTTTTTCATACTTTGGGTTATTTGTCAGGCGCAGGATTCAAAAAGATTAGAGTAAGTATTGTGTAATAAAACTCAACAAAAGATACCATTTTAAAATATTTATTCAGTTACTGTTGAGCAACCAACCAATCTGAAAAAATAATATGAACAGACCAAAATTACCAACTCAAAAATAAATTAAGAACTAGGCTGCTCAGCACTAGATGCAGGTGTTTTTTTGACATATCAGTACAGTATAGATTAACAATACAGTAGTACCTCACGTGTTGTATTGTATTTAACATCATAAAGTGAATACAGTGAATGTTTTGAACACTTAAAGTGCACATCTATCTGGTAGTGCACAGAGCCAGACAGCTGATAATATCCTTCTCTTCCTCAGCTTGATGCTGATGTGCTTAGCTTTTCTATGTTAACCTTACAATGCCTTCTGTCCAACATTGGTTCTTTGGCAGCAACAGAACTGGTTCAGTATAGGGCACTGGTAGAAACATCCAGTTGTCAACAACTTGTTAACATTTTTCCACAACTGTCACAACTTTTGACATATAACCTTATGGGATCCACTCTGATGTTCATGAGTGTGTGTGTGTGTGTGTGTGTGTGTGTGTGTGTGTGTGTGTGTGAGTGAGAGAAAGAGAGTGATGGGTGTACTTCAGTCAAACAACAATTTCTTGTTGATCTTGAGGAAAACACGCTGCTCCAGAGATGTGGTTGTTCTGTTCCTCAGGCCAGATGACAACAGTCCACACACTGAGAAGATGCGCTCCACAAAGGCTTGTGAGGCAGGGGCACTAACGAGATCTAGTGCCACAGGGGCAAGTTTTGGATAGACAGCCTCTCTTGATCTCCAGAACTGCAACGGTGTCTCATTAAACACACCCTGTTTGACGTCGTCGCCATACTTCTTCATTTCGGTCAACAGACTGTCGGCTCCCTCAGGCTCATTTGTCAGTGACGCATTGACCTCCATACGGGAGGCAAGGAAGCGGTATTTCTGAAGGACAGTAGGAGGGGAGTGTGCTGCAGTTTGAGTGGCAATGACATTATCCTGAGAAGGAGTTGCTGGGTTATACTGAGCTGCCAGGTTCTGCACTAAAGACTGTGCTGCCCTCCTCAGTGGCACCGTGTCTGGTGTTTGAAGAATCAGTGAAACACTTGGATCCAGTAGGTAGGCTGCTGCTGGTGTAGCATCAAACTGTGGGGAATCAGGGCTAAGAATGGCAGCAAAACGTTCTCGCAAGGACTTCAGCAGCACTTGAGCTAACTGCTTCCCAGCAGCAGTCGTCAGCAGGTGTGCCTCAAGGTTGAGCAGACATGGCACTACTTGTGAGAGTGACTGGCTGTCACTCTGAAGCTGGTCTGTGTGAATGGCAAAGGGCTCAAGCAGCTTGACAAGGTTTTCCAGCTTAGCCCAATCGCTTGTGAAAAGTGTGTCCATGCCCAGCTCCTCAAGTACTTGGTTATGTTCAGTTCTGATCTCCAGCAGCCTTCTCAGCATATCAAAAGGGTGCTACAATCTCGGACTAGAGTTTGGTGCCAGTCAGAGTCGGGTCTGACAAATAATAATACTTTAAACTTAAAACAAACAGACCTTAAACCTGCACAACCACACTTGCTTAAAGGAGCAGTCCAAAATACAATTCACAATTAAACATTTACAACACAACACCAGATTCAGTTTTCTTCCTTGTATTTTACAGTTCATTGAATTGGGCGACAGTCCATTCCATATAATCCAGTCCTTGCATTCAATCCATCCAATTCAATCCATTCCCGTATCCCCCAGCTTTGACAGAAAAGATTAATCCATTCCGGGTTTTACCACGGATCCCACCCTACAAGCGACCAGGAAAACAACAATTTGACAAGCGCACAGAGAAATACATTAATAAATAATTGTTCAGACACTGTACCTCCCATCAGTAGAGTCTGGGTTAGTCGGGGATGACACGGCAGTCACGGAGCTCGGTACTCTGTGGAGTTATTAAATCATATGTTTACCGTGGGACAACAGGCAAGTGAACGCTCGGCATGCTAAAGATGCTAAAGTGGCTGGCTCTTACCGTGAGGCTATGATCGATTGATTAAACGGCACGTAATTCAGCAGCAGGTAAGAGTTGTCAACATGTGTCCGGTGTGTCTGTGTTTCTCCGTAGTAGTGAAACGCGAGTGATTGGGGGGTTTTGAATTACTACGCGGGTTTGGTGGCATATGGTTATTGGATGAATGGAGATGAGAGATGGGCGTGAACGGCTGGATTTGTAAATGGAAAATGACGTCAAAACAGCTGGGTCGCCACACTCCTCCCCCCTTCGCGAAAGCCAACCAAAGGTAAGGCGCTGTGGTCATCCTGTCATAAGTTTAGCCTCTGAGATATATAAACAATTGAACACGAGTTACATTCCAAAACTTGTGTTAAGGGGGTCGCTTTCAGAATCAGAGGAGCAGTCAGGGTAATCATCCTCTTGTCCTCCTGCAGGTCCATCCCTTCCAGCACGAGAAGCAGGATATGGAGTGTCTGAGAACCCCAGGAAGTTCTCTTCATCAGAGTCCTCCAGAAAGATCTCTAAAACACGCTGGTGCTCCCGCTTCTCCAGCTCTTGAGCAGTGGAGTAGCAGGGCTTCAGCCGTGAAATGTGGACAACCTTCAGGTCCTGCCCAGAATCCTCCAGAACCACTTGATAGTTCACTGGTTCTACCTGTTGCACCACTCGATAAGGCCCTTGCCATTTAGGGGCTAACTTGGCAGTGAAGGATTTTTTGGCTTTGGAGAGGGGATGGGCTCGGACCCAAACTCAGTCTCACGGCTGAAACTCCATGTCTCGTCGGTTCTTGTCATAGTTTCTTTTCTGCCTACATCTCGCAGAATCCATGTTCTTTTTGACAAAGGAACTCAGATCTTCCAGCTGGGCAACCTTGGCATAAGCAGGGGTGTCTGGAGCAGACTCTCGGGGTTGCAGCATGACATCCAGGGGTCCTCTCAGTGGCCGACTGAGATTCAGCTCTGCAGGAGAAACCCCAGTGGTCTCCTGGACGGCGGAGTTGATGGCAAAGCGGAACTCCGAGAGATACTTGTCCCAGTGCTTGTGCTGGTTCCCGACATAGGAGGCGATCATGGCTTTTAAGGTACGGTTCACTCTCTCAGTAAGGTTGGTCTGGGGATGATAAGCCGATGTCATTTTGTGTCCCACATTCCAGGTTCTGCACACTGATTGGAAGACTGAGGCGACGAACTGTGATCCACGGTCAGAAAGAATGAAATCCGGGAGGCCCCATCTGGTGAAGATGTCTTTCACTACTACTTGGGATATGGCTTCTGCCGTGGCTTTTCGCAAGGGGAATAACTCCACCCATTTGGAGTAATAGTCCACAAAAACCAAGAGGTACACATTTTGCTTGGAGCTCTTGGGAAATGGACCCATCAAGTCCATGCCCAGCATCTCCCACGGGCGTTGGATCAGAGTTTGCTGCAGTTTGCCAGCCAGTCTGCGGTTTTCAGGTTTGTAGGCTTGACAAACTTGGCAGTTCTGCACATGATGCCGTACATCCAGGCTCAACTGGGGCCAGTAGACCAGGTGTTGTAGTCTCCGGTAGGTTTTATGCCTCCCCAGATGACCAGAGAGGGGGTCCTGGTGAAAATACTCCAGAAGTTGCTCTCTGAAGCCGGGAGGTATGTAGAGCTGGTAGACGGTTTTGTAGGGGAGGGTGACCACACGGTAGATGAGATCCTCCATTATGCAAAGGGAAGTATTTGAGTTGATGATGACCTTGTCGTTCTCCACAACCTTTTTATACAGGGCTTGGCATTCAGGGTCCTCCTGCTGCACCTTCCATAAGGCCTCAATGGAGAGAGGAAGTTCTTTTGACGGTCCTGAGGAGACAGACATGACGGAAGCACATACAGGTAGAGAGGGCTGATTTCCTGTTGGGGCTCGAGAGAGAGCATCTGGCACAGTGTTATATTTCCCTTTCCTGTATTCAACGGTGAAGGTGAATTCTTGCAGCCGGAGTGCCCACCGGATGAGCTGAGTGCTGGGTTTGGTGGTTTTAAAAACCCACAGGAGAGAGGCGTGATTGGTAACCACTGTGAAGAGGCGTCCTTCCAGGTAAGTTCTCCACTTCTCCAGAGCCCACACCACAGCCAAGCATTCCAGTTCGGTGGCAGCGTAATTCCTCTCAGCTGAATTTAGGTTGCGGCTGGCGAACGCGAGGACTTCCTCTGATCCCGGATCAGATTTCTGGACCAGCACTGCTCCAAGCCCCACTTTGCTGGCATCCGTGTAAACCACAAAAGGAGCGTTGAAGTTTGGGTGTCCCAGGACAGGTGGGTGGACCAGATGTTCTTTCAGGGTGTCAAATGCAACTTGGCAGGCAGGTAACCAGAGGAACCTGGCTCCTTTTTTCTTCAGGGCATTGAGTGGCTCCGCGATCTTTGAGAAGTTGGGGACGAACCGATGGTACCACCCCACCATTCCAAGGAACCTCTGCACCACCTTCAGTTTCGCACAGCTTCTGTCTTGTCCGGGTCAACATGGACCCCAGCAGCAGATACAATGTGACCCAGAAATTTCAGTGATATCCTGAACAGTTTGCTTTTTTTCATGTTTACAGAGAGGCCAGCCCTGCGGAGCTTGTCCAGGACAGCTTGGACATCACCAAAATGTTGCTCCCAGGATGGGGAGAAGATAATTATGTCATCCAGATAGACGAAGCAGATGACGCCTTTCAGTTCGCCTAGGGCTCTCTCCATGAGCCTTTGGAATGTTGCCGGTGCATTTTTCAGTCCAAAGGGCATGACTTTAAATTGATACAGACCCAGAGGGCAGATGAAAGCTGTCATTTCCCGCACCTCAGGGTCCATTTCCACCTGCCAATACCCACTATTCAAATCCAAGGAAGAGAAGACCACAGCACCTGCGAGGCTATCTAGTATTTCCTGGATGGTGGGAATGGGGTAGGCATCAGTGATGGTGTTCTCATTCACTTTCCGGTAGACCACACAAAACCTTGGTTTTCCAATCTTCCGTGGAATCAACACTACCGGAGAAGCCCAAGCCGAGCAAGAAGGTTCGATGACATCATCCTGTAGCATGTCATCAAGGAGTTCCTTCATTATCTTCAGCTTTGGAGGGGAGACACGATAAGGTTTCTGTTGAATGGGAAGTGGATGAGTGAGATAGATTTCATGTTTCAACAGGTCAGTGCATCCCACTTTTGTTGTGCAGACATCGGTGTTGTTGTGTAACAGGGTTTCTAGACGGATTTTCCCCTGTCCCTCCAGATGAGACTCCTGGATGGCTTGCTGTAGCAATTGTGAGTCTTCCCCAGAGGTCAGAGAAGGGAATAGTGCATAGGCCGATGGAGCTTCCACCGAAAAGAAAGCAACATAGTTGCCAGACTCCCCCTCCCTCAGCGGAGAGGCCTCTGCACAGAAGAAAAACCTCCTCTTGTCATCATCCCGGAACCAGTATGTCCCCCCTGCCACATCAATCTGCATACCTGAGAAAAACACAAAATCCAAGCCAAGCAGAGCAGGAAATGCCAAAGCAGTGGAATCTAGCACGGCCACAGCCACCAGCCAAGTCTTCCCCTGCAAGGTCACCTCTAATTCTACCCATCCAAGAGGCTTCCTGGGCTCCCCATCAGCCAGATAGAGTGGATCACCTGTCCAAGGGCAAAGTCCGTCGCCAGGAGCCTTGATACTCTCCCATACCTGTTCGCTGAGCAGTGTATAGGTCGACCCCGTGTCCACCACGGCTTTGCCACTCCAGTTCCGAACAGCCACCATCACCTTTAACAATCGAGGCAAGGCCGTGCCACAGCTCCCTCCAGGGCCGCTGAACTCCCCCAATCCCCTCACGAAAGAATGAAAGGGAACACATGACGCTGGCTGTGCTGCCTGTTGCGTCAAGGTACTGAAGGGCGGGCCTGCTCGTCTGCAAAACGGGAGGACTGTGTATGTGGCTGTTGACTGCGGGGGGGTGGGCAGGACTGCTGAGAGTTGGAGGGTGCCTGTTGCTCCTGAGGGTGGGGCTGTCGAGGGCGGAAGGATGGCTGTTGCTGTTGAGGGTGGGACAAATGTGAAGACTGTGGTTGGGAGGGCGGTTGATGCTGCTGAGAGTGTGACTGAGGAGAGGGCTTAACCTTCTTAGAGTGGTTGTAATTGGGACATGAGAATGGAGCATGACTGCCTTTACACCTCCAGCAGTAAGGATGAGCAGGCTCCGGAGTCACAGGAGGGGGGGAAGCCTGTGGGGTGGGGACAGGGTTTACCCCAGTTGGAGCCCTAGTGGTGTTAGGGTGGTACCGCCGGGATGCCGCTGTCTGTGCTTCCTTCTCTCTGTCCTTTTCCAGCTGTTGTCCAAGCCTCACCAGAGCATCCACTGTATTCACTCTACCCCGCAGCTGGCTGGCCATACGAGGGTGGATGTTCCTGAGGATGAGCTTCATAACTGCACCCTCTGTGATGTCTGGCTTCCAGGGGCGGCACACATGATAAAAACATGCTGACACACCCATGAAAGATGCTGTTAATCCTCTCTTGCTCCAACCATCCACACAGAGGGTCAGCTTCCTCGCGTCCTTCATTATCTCTTTCAATTTGTGCTTTGCCTTTTCCATCTTAGCTCCAATAAGATTATTCACTCGTGCAGCACCGGGTGATTTGAATTTTGGCTCGAGTGAAAAGCTAAACTTTTTGAAGGCAATCGAGTCACACAGTCTTGTAGACATACCAGTCTCAATAAACATATTTACGAGTGCATCTTCCCACTTGTGGTGCTCCTGCGTGTTTACTAAGCAGAAGCTATTTGTTCGTCGGTGAAAGCAGTCCATTATGGTTGTCTCCTCCTTCCCGGTGCTACCTGGCCAGGATGTTGCTTCTCTTTCAGCGGAGCTACTCAGAGAGGCCACTTTGTCAAGGTACTCGCAATTAGCCTGCTTGTGCGAGCTTCTCAAATGGACTTTCAGATTCGTGGGGTTTTTTCCCTTGAAAAGTATTCCACATATTTGATTACCTGTTTCCACTACAAGGCACTTGTTTTTCTCTTTTTCGCCGTCGTATTCAAAGAAATCCCATATAGGACTCTGCCGCTTTCTCCCAAC